TAGTTAACAATAACTGTTCCGCTTTGATAAAAGGACACACCATAGCTGACGCCGCATATCTAATGAGCCATTGTACTCGTTTACATACAAAATTAATAAATATTGTCAACAACAAACGACGAATCCGATTCCATTAAAAATTAACTAGAAAGTAATACAATATTACGGAATTAAATTGAGGTGTGGTTTAGGTAAGTAATAAAAATCTGTTGACATATCTTGGAAACGATAAATCAAAGTTTATGCAAAATTCCTAGCGAACCGTTTCTTTTGAAACTATGTAGCGCTTTTGATACAAATAAATATAAGCGACGGATTTAAAATAAATCATTAAAATTAAAAATTGAATTTCCTTTTACGTCCTATATTCTATATTCAGCAGATCGTACGCACTTTTTTCGAGAAGAGCAACCTTGGTGTAGTGGTTTTTTTGTAGAGGACTAAGGGCGACTGTCCTAGTTTGAACTTTTAAGCAAATTAAGCGGCAACCATTTTGTCACACCAAATTATTTATTCGAAATTCCATTTGCTCATTGGATTGGATTTACTTTTTAAGGGACATTGTCCATTGTGCGCATTGATCCCGATAATTCACTAATTAAATTTAAAAAATAAGAAAATTATTTTAGAAGCACCCTGCGCTATTAAGAACTATTAAAATTTCACAAATATTTAATTAGTTATCACATTCTGCAGGTTTATTGCCTGCATGAAATGTAGTAAATGAAAACCTTTTTTCCCATTCTGGCTACAAATGACAGGAATTTCACAAAAATACCTCTCTCTCCAGTCGTTGCTTGATTCCGAGCGTCGTGACTTATTCACGGTGCAAGCCATGCCTCTCTATCCTCTACGGTTCTCATAACTTTCTCTAGTGACATGTTTGTAAGGTCCTTGATTTGGCCTATAAATCTGACTGGTGATCTGCCTCTCGTTTTTTTGCCGTCCACTTTCCTTTGAATCACAATGTACTCCATACTATCCTTCCGTATCACATGACCAAAATATTTTAGTATGCGCTTCTGGATTGTTGGAAGCGGCCTTTCATAATACCAAATATTTAGTTCACTCTGCGCCGTCTAAGGGATTCTTAACATCCTGCGGTAGCATATTATTTCAAACCTAAGATAGATGACAGTGTCCCTTGTTTCTATATCATGAATGTGTGGAAGTTGTATTCGGATTGTCTGAGGTCTATCCACAATCAGCAGACAGCATTTGGAACTATTCAGACGTAGGCCTGATTTCAAACTAGCAGCTTCCACACATCGATGGAGTTCAAACATTTTTTGTTCTGTTTGTGCCAGAACTATCGTGTTATCCGCATATCGAAAGTTTGACACTTTTTTCCCACCAATAGAGACTCCGCTATCCCACTTCTCTAGAGCTGCTAATGATCCATGCTTCGTAGATATTAAAGAGAAGTGGGAGGATAATGCAACCCTCTTTTTCCACGTTGAATCCTGTTGAGAATTGCCCTTCTATAAGATGTTCCTCACTGTACTGTGTCAAATGCCTTGATGTAGTCGAGGAAGCAGAACATAGCTGGTACATTGTATTCGTACACTTTTCCTCTTATTTGTCGAACCTTCATAAGTTGGTCTCGTCTTCCACGATTTGGCACATGGGGAGCCTTTATTGGGAGATAATGAGGTTGGAGTGTTTTTGAAAGCATTTCAACTTTTTTAAAAAGATCTCGATGCATTATTTAAGATCCTGCTGAACGTTTAGCGTTTTTTTTTTATTTAACAATTTGCTTCAAATAATTCAGTTTGCTCACCTTTGGGGTATTCAAAACTGTTTGGAATGGATGATAGCCATGCGCAGACATGATACAACAAAAAGTACATGTGCATCAGTGTTAGTATTAGATGTAAATATCTAACCAATCCATCCTGTATGTTATTGCAGCAAATATTACAGGTTACCAGACTTATCGTTCATTAAAGATGTATTCAAATAATATATATATATATATATATATATATATATATATATATATATATATATATATATATATATATATATATATATATATATATATATTTACTTGTGCTGGGTCTTTTCTATATCACACGGTATATATTTTTGTCAAAACTTTTGGATTCCTTCTGGGTCGGTTTTTGTTGAATCGAACTTGCTAACGTTTCGTCAATCAAACTGTTGACTTCTGGAAACTGAGTTTTGTAAGCCATAAAATTGGATTTATTTAAGTACGGCTAGTATAATAATAACAAATAAAGATCGGCATGTCAAAGGTATTTAACAGAATGTAATCTGTTGATCGTCAGAAAGAAAATGAATCCGGAAAGCTTGAATCAATCCATTTCATCTAGTTAATGCAAAGACTAATCAATCATTTAGTAAGTTTTCCTGATGTAGGCAGCGATAAGAACCCCATTACACAGCAAATTGTGTAACGAGTTTCCTATACTTCCAAATTAAACTGACATATAATTTAATTAAAATTACACTTAATTGAGCCGCTTATTAGTTGATGTTCCTTTGTGGACTGAGGGTTCGTTTATCAAAGCGACATTTATAAACCATAGCATACAAGGACATTTTTTGAACTACACAGGCATTGTTATCAATAAAGTCCAAATACGCGAATGTGCACTTAACCATATCATGAGTCAACTCTACGTTCAGATTGAGCTTTCATTGCAGGAAGCGGAAGTTCACCATTAAATTAAAAATACGTTACAAGCCTTTAAAGCAGTATAAATACTTTGCATTATGCATGTACTCTGTCACGATAAATGATTATTTCTTTGTAAATGAAACGCAGTTCATCGCGAACGGACCCACACGAAAGGAAATGAAGTTCAATATTTTTATTTGTGTCGACGTAACTGACATAGCTGTAAATCAAGTTCCTAGATAGTTTGAGTGAAAAAATATCAAATACCAACTCTCCAATTTGAGGTTTTCAATGCAATCCAAATACAATCAGCTAGTTTTGTTCCATCTGCTTAAGAGAAATTCTCACGATTTATTTGGTATATTTTAGACCTCCAATTTCACCATTTGATTTGATCTTCTGAATTTCATTATTTTTCCTTTAAGATCAGACAACTGAGATAAAAGTTTTCAACTAATATACCGGAAAATTTGAATCTCTATATTTTAAATTCTGTATAGGGTGCGTTAACAAATCATATATAGCTAAAACAGCCCATAAGTGGCGAATAATAGAAAAAAAATGGAAGCCAAATTGTTTCAGTGTTAACACGTTAGAAAATGTTATTTAAAGAAGTTTCTTTTTAATGCCGCCTGTCGCTTAATCAATTACCTCCTAAGTAAACTTACGCATACCGTATGACTCATCTAAGACGCAGGTGATTTATACCATGGTTAAGCAGAGGTTATTGATATCCATATCTTCCAAAAATATTAAAGTACAGGGTGTCTCTTATATTTTCCGAATATTAAGTCCATCAAGGAATTTCAATTTCATATACAATTTAAATGAAAACTATGCGAAGATCTTCGGTTAAGATTAGCGTACTTAGTCAAGACATATTTTAGATTGTTTTAAAAGTGTTCAAGTTATATCTAAAACCTCATTTTCTTATTTGCAACAATATTTATAATTAAATTCATATTAGCCCAACTTATTTTATTTGTCTCAATCTCGCTCATCATAAAATTTCTTTAAAAAAGCCGATAGAAAGGCCTAGAAAACCTTCATTTTTGTTTTGTATTAATCTAAAATATTTTTTGTTGGTAATTTAGTCACGGGTTTGAGAGGGATCGGATGTTTTAAGGTAGATTTTAAAGGCGAATATGATTTTGGCATTTGTCAATTGGGACAAGCACTTCACATATCAGTCAGTAAATGTACCAAAAGCTTCGTAGATCGTAGAGAAAGTATAGTATGCAACTCGTTGATAAACTTTCTAATTAAATTTTAGTTATACGTAAAAGTATTATTTTCTACCAAATTATGTTTTATTAATTAATTTTTCTGCTGCTTCAAATTTGGTCTCACTCAAACTTAAATATCTTTAATATTTTAACCAGCAAATCATTAAATGAATTATTATTACGCAAATAAAATTAATATTGATAGTATATTATGACACCATCGGGGCGAGGGGTTAATAAATTAACGTTTAACAAATGTTGCATATTCTATACTTTTTCTACGGCCAATACTTTTTGGGTACATTTTTGGAAAAGAGCACCAATTAACCAATGCCCAAAGCCGTTGTCAAAGTAGAAAAGTTATTTAAAAAGTGTGTGATACTGTGAATTGATGTTTGCTAATACTAACAAAAATGTGTATGGTCCAAGTGCGTAACAAAAGTCAAACGTGTCAAATAATAAATATTACTAGACTGCTCTTTTATAGAAAATTGAACTCAAAAATTAACAGAATATAAACAGAATGGAAACAGATAGATGATAGATCAGTCCAACATTTTTAATCCAGTTCAGCGTCAGTTTTTAATTAGTGCCTTCTTAGAGCAGTTTTAAGTATATAATATCCATTAATTACGATCGACGTTAGCACCTCTAGTACGTAAATTAATATGTTAGTTAACGAAATGGCGACACCTCGGACTTACATGTTAACTGCTATTAAAGTTCCTGATCCGCGGTGCTTCGTAGTTACCAAACAATTTTGAAAGGTGGAATTTATGTGCCTACAAGTACATTGTAATTCAGTTTACATACTGAGGATGTCAGTGCCGTCCCATTAGGTTTGCCGTCACCGTTTCAGCGTACAGTACCTCGAGGTTAGAGCTTTCATGAATTTGGTTGCGGGTATTATGTTGCTGTTTGTCAAAAATTTAAATAAAATTTAGAAAAAATTGTGTTCCGGAAGAGTCAATTCTGCTTATTTTGGCAATTGAATTGTACAGTCGCAAATTACATCTTAGTGAATCGTCCGACCACTGGTTACTGTTAGCAGAAAAGCAATAAACGTTTTTACACTACGCAATAAAAGGCAATAACAGACGAACTGAACTTAAAAGCATATTTTTTCTTACCAATTATCTAAGATGTTCAGCGGTATGATTTTCTGGTAATTCACTTAAGTATGGTGTAAGTCGCTCCCACAAAAAAAAAACGGTACCAAAAATTCAATAATCGCGAACGAGAGACGTCAAAATCGCGCGCAAGAAGTCGCACTGTTTAGTATTCGCGGCGGATTCCCATAAGACACAAAAAATCCATTCCCACACGAAATGTTGACTCACCAGGCCGACGAGAGTTTGCGAAGTCGGCAATAACTGAAAACAAACCACTCGTGCTTTCATTCAAACACCAAGCCGCTCCCACCACTGAAATCTGGCGTGCTGTGCATCGAAATGTTACGTTTTAACTACGTCGATAGATTAATTAAGTAGTTTTGTTGTCGTATTTTTAGAAGGCTGATGGGTTTTTTTTTTCTCGTATGGGATGCGCTTACCTGAAAAAATAATTTCGCGTGATGGTGCTTGCGTTTTACTTATTCGGACCGAAGATTTGTAGATTCGAATTTACTGCTTATTTTATGGCTTATTTCTGAACTTACGATGTTCAATTAATGTTTAAACCTTCCCTGCTTCCGGTCCAGTTTTTAGAACGGTAAGCTGAGCAAGACAAGCTGTTTCTATAGTTGCTGGTAAAACCTCAGATCAGAAATGAGAGAATTTTATATACAGTGTGTCCAAAATAAGGGCGGCATGGGGATATCGGAACCCATAGAAAATACAGGGCATTTGGGAACACAAAAATTTTGATGATAAATGCATCTATCAAATAATGGAAATATTAAATATGATGCACATAATAGTATATTACGCAACAAGTGAGGTAAACGAGTGACTTAAAAAGTTTACCTAACATGTTGCATACTATATTTTTTCTACGACCGTTAGTTTTTGAGTACATACTGACATGAACGTCAAAATTGACAAATGTCAAAATTCAAGGCGTGGCAAATATCTCCGAAAACATACGATTACTCCCAAACCCGTGCGGTAAAATTCAGGAAATGCCCGAAGTGGCTTGGATCCGTGGAAAACGAAACTGATTTTGTAAAGTGACGCTTCCCGCACGCTAGATTGGTGTGTAATTGAGCATTTTACAGATGGGAGCAGAAAAAACATTTAAAAATCTCTGCGTACCTTGAAAACAAATGTGTTCCAATAATGATTTAAGTTTCTGATAAAATTCTTTAAATCATTCTTAATTTAACCAATTAACAAAATAATTTTATGACAATTGGCACCACTGGAATCCTGTCAAACGTCTTTAGAGAACAATAAATTTTAACATTTTTCATGCAGCCATGAATTCTACAAAAATATAAAAAATGTGCGGACATATGGTATCAGAAATATCAGCGAATTAGTACAACGCAAGTTTAATCAACTACCTACTATCACTAAGCTCCCATTAACTTAATCACCCTCTTTAAATATCAATAAATTTTATAAATAATTTAAAGAAATATTATTAGCTTAATTAATTAATTATAATCATCATAAAATCCTTAACTTGTTATAAAGTGAATAGTGAAAGGGTTTGTTCTAAAGAATTCATATGTTATATATTTTAATTGTTGTAAGCTTAATAACATTAAAAATCTCTGAAAAAGAGATGCTTCAGAGGGCTAGCGCTTTTTTAGGCCTTTCGTCTCGAAAGCACAAAAACTTTTAAAACAGAAAATCGAAAGAAACGAGAACCTTTCCGAATCCGTTAATTGAAATTGAAAAAAAAAACTTGGTGGTTGGTGGGATAATACTCCTTGGTGTTTTCTTAGATGGTTATCTTTTATGAGACAATTTCATAGGAAAACTTACTGTGAAAACAATAACATGATATTTGAATTTAAAGTGCTTTGAAATAGTATTATTTAAATAAAAACAAACGTATAAGCTTTGCTCTACCGACCATATCAGAAGTGAACTTTTTTTATTTTTCATCAATAATTTTTGAGCTATCACTAATGAGCTCAGCTAAATGATATAACTCATAACTCTTGCAATTCTAAATTTAAACACAAATTTGCTTTTTCTGCTTACATTCAAATCAAATCAACATCTGCTCCGAAAGTAGTTAGGTAAATACTAAATTCACCTTAAATATCTCAACTTAAGTAAGAATAGAATCTTCGCCGACCACCTGCTAGCAAAAATGCGATAATATACCTAATTGCTGTTGGTGAAATCCGACGCGCCTTAATCGAAACAATTAGATAGTAGCAAAATTATCATTACTTTACTACTAGCAGCAGGAATATTTTAATGATTCCTCTTAATCCTAAACATCCCCAATTTATTCGTTAATTTTTTCAAATATTGTTCCCAAGATATTTCTACCTCATCGTTTAATTTGGAGGACGCTTTTAATTGTTTAGGTGGGAACTATCCTAGCCGTGTTCTCACATTTCTTTTTTGACATTGTTCACTTTCAGAAACTCTTTTTTGAAAAGCAGGTTCGTTTTTTTTTTCTAAAATAATTTCTGCCTCACTATCGCCCCAAAATTATCATTTTGCATTTGTAATTTTGAAAGCTTTAATGTTACGTGAAACTAGACTCTGAAATTTTATTAGATTTAATTTATTAATTAAATGTGCAATAAATATTGTGAGAGATTTTAATGCACGAGTAAGCAACGAACCTTTTCTAATTCAAAAATAAAATTTTTGCGTCTAATGTTACGTGAAATTAGATTATGATATTTTCATTTGAAGTGCAAATTTTATCAAATGAAAATTTTACAGTGTAATTTTATACAGGGTGTTTTAAACCAGTTGCATCAAAGCTCCCTTACAGATGGCAAATTAGAAAACAACTAATATAGAATAAAAACAGACTTATCTTTGTAATATTTAAATAATAAAGACTGATATCACAAAAAATTGAATTTGGCCTCAGTTTTTGTATAGCAGAAGTCTATTGTCCTATTTTTCTCTACGGCCGCTCTATTGATGTAAAGATGTAATGGAAGGTAATAATATCTTTCTGTCCCTACTCCCAATTCTGCATTGACTAAGCAAGTTCCGTTTTCTTATGCTTGACAGCCACCGGAGCCACGGATATTTTTAAAGCCCTGGTGGTATTTTGACATTTGCCAGTTGTGATCGTCAGTGAATATAATGCTGTTTTACAAAAATACGAGGTATGCTCAAGAAGTAAAGTGACATTTGACTTTTTTTTTTAAGTATTTATTTATTCATCAAAATTAATGTTGATTTCTGGTAAGCACTTTCTGGTACAGCCTTGAGTTTCTTTTTATCTCCATAATCGTTTCAAACTTCCTTCCTTTCATGGATTTCTTTAGTTTTGGGAACAAGAAAAAGTCGCAGGGGGCCAGATCCGCTGAATTTGGTGGTTGAGGCATTGTTCTGGTTTTGTTTTTGGCCAAAACGGTGTGCACGAGCAACGATGAGTGAGCAGGAGTAATATGGTGATGGAAAATCATGACTTGTTTTCTCACAATTCTGGATGTCTTCTTCATATTGCTTCTCACAAACGACGCATAACTTCAAGGTAATAATCTTTATTGACCTTGTGGTAAAACTCTTTATGTACCACACTACGATCATCAAAGAAAACAGTAAGCACAACCTTGACGTTTGATCGAACTTAACGTGCTTTTTTCGGACTTTTGGGTTCTTCCACTGGGACGCCTAGGCTTTGGTTTCGACGGCATGAGCATATCGACGTCGTTTAACAATTCTTGAAGGATGCTTCTCCTTTTGTTCAGAAACGAGCAGTTCCGGAACAAATTTTGCTTCTACAAGTTTCGCAAAAGTTGCATGGCACGAGTCAATACGTCTTCAGTCACTCCTTGAATAACAATTCGATTATTTTTCAACACCATTTGTTTCAATTCTTCAACATTTCATCCGTTATTGGCATGCTGGGGGTCCTCAGCGAGGTTCGTCATTGGAGTCGTCTCGGTCATCTTGGAACAACTTGTATCACTTATAAATTTTTTTTTGCTTCACCATATGCCGTTCCATTTTTTCCACAAAATTTTATGCAAATTCTTTGTGCATTTTTTTTTGACAGCAGAAAATCTCCGAGGACACAAAACACTTGTAACGCTTCTGTCTCACAAAAGAGAAGTAAACTTACAAACTGGCTGAAACTGTAAACATGTGTTAGGGAGCCATGTGCCAACTTAACAAAAAAAATCTCGAATGTACGTAGCCCATACAATTACAAAAGTCACCTTACTTTTTGAACTCACCTCGTATACCTGAAATTTAAACACTCGCTCTGCTCCTGCCTAAACATACTCGAGACTAATTACAAATTTCTTTACAAAAATTTTATTTATCAAAAATTAATGGTTTTAATTAACAACAAACACAAATTATTATACATTAAGGACTATATAAAATGTTTTTTTGGTCACTTTTCAGTAAGGGGAGTAGCGGATTGAGAAACCACGGCTGAATGTATCGTTCAACCGGAGAAATGGTACGAATCTGCCTCGAGGTGTATGCGCGAATGTAATGGGTGGGTGTAAAATTGGGTATTATTTATCGGATGTTTTCACGTCTCGTAACAAATAATGCCGGGTTCCGTTACGAAATTCGAAATTGTAGTCTTGGACTATACGAGTTTTCTTCAAGACGTACCGCCATCTGCTGTATCAGCTGCTCGTTTAAAATAAAAACGCCACAGATTTGAATTATGGGTGCCATTGCTCCGCGTGATATTGTTTTAACTAAATGCTAATATTTTGTTTACAGCCCGTATTCGACCATTAAAAAGGCAATAAAACGGATTATAAATTATGAAAATTTTTCTTTTGAATGTTTGCTTTGATTAAACTGTTATATCTCGAGTTTTACGCTACATGGGTAGATGGACCATTAACTTTTAGAAGGAAAGAACTAGCAAGAAATACTCTTAAGCGTATGCATGTGTGTTGGTAAATCAAAGTGAAAAATAAAAACTGGTTCTGTTAACAAATTGTATTGAATCTGAAGAGTAACTCGAAGAACTATCTTAATAGGAACCTTTCTTCTTTTTTTCAATATATAAGTAATAAATAAGTAATGTATATAGTTGTCCGATAAAATTTTGTGTTGTGTTTTTTTTTTAGATACAAATTTTTTTCATTCATTATCTTAACAAAACTTTAAAAATGTTTGCCAAACATCCATGTTTGAAATTGAAAACATCCAGTCGACCTAGCGATCATCTGTGTTAAAATAAGACATGCTAGTTACCAAATAAACCGAGTTAGTAATACCAATAGGAAAGAAAAAACTAATCATTGTGGAACTTAATATTACGTTGGATATCATCAAAGGCGTAAATTCGATCAAGTAAATGTGTGTCTACTTTTATAAAGATGCACGAATGATAACGAACATTAGAAAAAGCATGTTAAATAGTCAATCAGTTACTAATGGCTCTCACCGAAATTACATCCCAGGCTATGGAAGAAGGAAAATCCTAACAGAGGCCTTATATTATCTTGTATGGTACCTCAATATGGAAGACACTAAGGCGTGGCAAACGCACATACACCGGTAGTGTTGGAAAGGACTGAACTTCTATCCATAAAGCTCAAAATTCAAGAATGATTTGCTCTACACTTGCATCGGAGGCATGACATAACCAACAACTATGAAGCCAAATTTAAAATTTATACCAAATATCTCAGAAAACGGGCAAACAGGAATCACGGTGAAGCTCTTTAACAGCAACAAGCTTTAATAGGATGATGGTTGTCTGGTGTCTACCTGCATACATTCCAAAATAGCACATATAGTGCCTATTTATACTGCGAGCAGGACACACAAGACGGGTTTATTTTCGACAGAATGCAGCTTAAGATTGTAGAAATAATTTTTGAGAATGAAATATCATGAAGAATCGTCATGTATGTGATTGAAAGCATTCTGAAGGCCAAAACACAAGATGAGAGAGGATTCTCAAACGAATTTATAGATGCCTGAAGCAATGCCTTAGCTGATCTGCGATCCTACACAGGGATCCACCCTACCAGGTTCGGATGTCTGCTAATAAATTCCTATAAGTTTGGAAATGGAATGGAATGGACATCTTCTAGACATTCTGAAATTTTGGAACTAGCATATACTTACTACCAACTAACCGATGTAGCGCGAAAAGAAGACAGCAACGTCTATCCATTCATATCCTGTATGAGCATATTATTTAATTTTCTTGGTGAACAAGCAAAATAGACCAGGGCACTATTTATTTTGAACATTTTGTCCATTGCATTTTACTATACCTGTCAAGACTGTTGGTCAATTTATAAATAATTACTTTAATAGAGAATGCTGCTATTTTTTGATTTTCATTAAAACACATTAGAGACTTTCGTTTATAGATTGCTTCAAATGGAGCCTTCACAGATATATAAGAAGTTTTCTAAAATTTAAGAATTTTATATTTAATTAAGATTTTTTATATGACAGTTGTGAAGGTTTATATTCAAAAATTTACTAATGGTCCTGGATTAACCCTGCATTGCATAAAAATCGGGGTTATAAAGAATACGTCCGTAAATTCTCAATTTGCTAGTCTCAAGAAGATTTCGGCAAGCTATACAGGAAACAATGAATCTATTATTTTCAATTCTAACACGCACTAAACCAGCGCATCCACCGAATACCTCCAACAACATTTGAGTTTTATTGTTTTATTAAAAAGGAGGAATTTTCCAGAAATTAGCTACTTTGTAGGAAATTAGTTATAAATATAAATATAAATTGTGTTATAAAATCGGAGGGTATTGGTACCGACAAAATATTATGTTATATTATTTTATATTATATTATATCATAGTAACATATTTAGCAAATTTTTTAACTGAAACTCACGTTATTCCTGAGTGTTGGAAGAGTTCATATGTTTTTACTTTTTATAAAACTTATATTCCTCCTGCGTCGGTTTTTATTGAGTCGAACTAGCTAACTTCTCGCCAATCATCCTGTTGCCTTATTCAGAGCTTGAGTGGAACTGACTCGCATTTTACTCTGTACCTGCTTTTATATTGTTTAAGGGGGCGGAGCTAAATGAGGACGTAAACACCGTCTCGGATGACTCCAAATTGGCGACAATCGCGCTTAAGAATGTAAGGTTGCTGATGACTGATTCCCATATTGGTAACCTGAGTCGCAGTTAGATTATTAGGTTGCTTATAGATTTCTATAGACTCTCGGATTTTTCCTTGGTAGAAGAATTAATTACTTGCAAGAATTTTTGTTTTATCGAATAAAATTTTATGTCCGGTTTTTGCATACAATTAATGCAGTACTCTTGCGTTTCAACAATAGGCGGAATCCGTAAGTAAAAAGTAAGTAAACTTCTAGGAATTAAATGGCTGAATATAATGCACCGACTCTTTTTAATAAAATGTTTGATAAAAAGTGTCCAGATTCTGTACAAGAATATAAAATTCCGCTTTGACCTGCCGTCCTGCCTGCTTCTTATTTCGCACTTTGAACTTCTTCCTGTTTCTTTGCTTCAGATTAATTATTATATTAATTAAATTAAATATTGTATGGTTACTGGAGTGGCTTTTTTGGTTAGCGCTAACCCGTTTGGTCGTTATCTGAAGACAGTTAGGAGGCTCTGCCTCAACTTTGCCTTTTATAGTGCCTTTCAATAAATTCTTTTATTATTATTATTATTACCATTGATATTATTTAATTCTATTCATTTTGAACATTTTATCCATTTCATTTTACTATAATTGTTGAGTTTGTTGCTTAGTTAAAATTTGCTTCAGTCGCTTCCCTCCTAACTTGTAATAAAATCCAGAAATAAGGAAACATTAATCGTCGAAATAAGTTTTATATCTTCCAGTCGCAATTTAAAATAAAAATGAGAGTTAAAATTTAAAAGTCTCAAATTCACGAGATTCAATTTTTTGGAACTTTATTGAAGTCGATTTTTATTTATTTTGATACTTATGCAAACCTATATCAACTGCATCGTGGTGACTTGTTATTTAATCATTATAGAAACGTAGCTGTAAGCGGCCTTCAGCACCTGAAACACAAGCGTCGTGATTGAAAAATTTGATTTCCTCCAATTAATTTTTTGCTTACCGTTATAGCCGACTGAAGCGTCATTTCGGCAAATGGACCCCTAGTCAGCTGCGAAGGTTTGTTAGTCCTCATCATCATTATAAACAGTATGCGTTTAGCTTCTTCACTTTGCTCGACCCAGGAACATTCGTATAGAGCATCAGCCATCGCCATGGTCTACAAAAATTCTGCGATATTCAACCTGATTTTATTTGAATTTGATTTGAATATTTATACCTGAATCTTGATTTCATTCGAGCTCCATCCCAGCGAAAGGATGTATACAACAAAGGAACCCGAATAACCCAATCTACCTATCCGCATTGTAGAAGTCTTGTCCTGAAATAGTTTCCAATACAACTTCTCATTAATGTATTGCACTTCGCCGACCACCACTGTTAATCTTTTTTTGTCTTAATGTTCATAAATGACCAACCAATTTCAAAATTTTAATTTGAGGTAATTGTTATGCGAGCTATTAATAACTTCTGACATTCCGAAGTAATACATTTATTTAAAAATTCTGTTTTAGAAGCAGTTCGCAATATGTTTTTTATTGTCTAAAGGGGATGAAGAGCGCGGGTTTATTTGAAAAAATAATAAATGGCGTTTGTTTCCTGAAGATTTGTGATTACTCAAAACAATTAGTAAGTTCACTATCAATTTTTGTTACATTAAAGGAAGCATGTAATCCAGTAAAATATATTTCTTACCTCTACGAACTGTAGGGCCACTAGCGCTATTGTCAATGAAGTGGTTATATACTCTATTAGGATGATATATTTAAGGGAGTTGTTTAAGTCTTCGACAAACCTGGAATTATTCAAATTCGAATCAATAAAAAATAAACTCAATCAGTGCTTATTATGTGCCTATTATTGTTACACCTTCTTCCAAACTCATTCTTTTTATATCTCTTAACAATTCATAACTATTACAACAATAAAAAGAAAAAAAATCCATATTTTATATATTAAATCGCATATTTATGTTGGAAAATGTTGTGGTTGTAATTGGTTGTTGGAATTAACACGAATTAAATTAAATAACAGGCACACGAACATTATTATTGATATATATTACTTGGCGTTTTTCTAAAAATACCTGGTGTCCCAGTAGGGGCAACAGATATTTTTGTTAAGTACATCGGTCGAGAGAAAATATTAAAAATTATTTTCGAGTTCGAGTCTGGAATGTCCACCGGAGTCGTAATTGCTATCTTGAATTTGAAAACTCGGTTTCTACATAAATTTAATGCTGTTTGCTCTATCTCTGCGATGTAATTTTATGTCAAATCAAAGCCCAACAACCCAGCGAATCAATGTTCTAACCTAAATTATGAATAAATTAGCATAATGCTAAAAAATGGTAAATTTTATGAAAATTTTCAACTTTTCTGGTTGTTATTAATGTCTGATTCTCCCGAATTCATCCAACGACACGGTAAATTATTATTTAAGTTTCTATATGATATCCAAAATCAAAGAAAATATTATTATCTTTATTATTTTTCCTTCAAAGGGCATCAAATTACCCTATAGCTCAGGTTTCAATGTTTTGACATGCTTATAAGTTTTTAAATATTTATTGATTATTAAGTTTAGTCAATTAATTAAAACTAATCAGTTGAAGGATAACCAATGTTAATAAGTATCGAAATAATTAGTCATTTCCTTAGTTCCTAAAACATCGATCTCTTCTAGGCACTGGATTCCGAAGCGTCAAATAAAACATTTATAATGCAACACTAAATATTTCAAGACTGCTATGTATTTTCATAACTAACTTGGTTTCGAAGGCACTTTAAAAGAAGTAACAAAACGAAAATAATAACATTTTATTTTGACTTTAAATATAATTGGTGATTTTAACATAATTAGACATTGATAACAACTCGATTTTCTTTTTCCAAAATATAACTTTTTTCTTCATATTTTAGGTTATCATAAAGATATTGAGATGCTGATTTCACTGGTGTTGTTTTAAACCTATTTGACTAAACTAACCAAAAACTAATGACTCAAAAATGTCATATCGTTGCAACTACTATCGCGCACCATTGCAACGTAATTTTTTTCATTTGTTTTTTCTATTTCCTACTCCAAATCATCCAATTATATACTGATCAGACGTGCGCAAAGTATTACTTTGAAAAGTCAGCTTCATTAACCACTCCCTCGACCAACAGCCATTTGTGCTGCAAAAATGTATTTGAGAACTTGTGGTTGAACGTGTCCAACGAAATTTCTGATTTTACTAAAACAACATAGTGTATACGACATATACGAGGTATGTTCACAAAGTAAGTCGACTTTTAAGTTTTATCAAAAAGTATTTATTTATTAATTAAAATTAATGATGTAAACTAATTACCCCTCCCCCTAGATATAACACACTTGTGCCAACTTTTTTTTCCAATCTTCATAGCACTTTTGGTAAGCACTTTCTGGCATAGCCTAGAGTTCTTTCAGCGAATTTTTCTTTATGTTCTCAATCATTTCAAACCTCCTTCCTTTCATGGATTTCTTGAGTTTTTGGGATTTTGGAAAAAATCGCAGGGTGAATATGGTGACTGAAGCATGATTGTGGTTTTTTATGCCAAAAACATAGACACAAGAAACGATGAGTGAACAGGTGCATTATCTTGGTGCAAAATCCACACAATCATACAATTCCGGAAGTAACACTCTTTATTGACCGTACGACCTTGTGGTAAGAATTCTTGACTAACCAAACTAACCAAAACAGTAAGAAAAATCTTTTGAACGAACTTGACTTGCTTTTTTCGGTCTTGGCGATTCTGGGATTTTCCATTGGGACGACTGGGCTTTGGTTTTGGTTTCGACGTCATAACCATATACTCATGATTCGTCACCAGTTGTAACCTTTTTGAGCATATCAGGATTATCATTAACGTGGTTTAACAGCCCTTGAGCGATGGGCCTTCGACGATCCTTTTGTTCAAAATTAAGCAGTTTCGGAGCAAATTTTGCTGCTACACGTTTCATGCCCACAACTTTGGAAAAAATTGCATGGCATGAGCAGTCACTTCTCTAATAGTGATTCGACGATTTTTCCACACCATTTGTTTCACTTCTTCAACACTTTCGTCAGTTATTGACATGCTGGGGGTCCTTAGCGACGTTCGTCATCGGAGTCGTCTCGGCCATCTTGCTCAAAGAGGATTCACCATATGCCGTTGTTAATATGTCAAATTTTATGAAAATTCTTTGTTCCATTTTTTTGACAGCAGAAAGTCGCCGAGCAAACAAAACACATCTAACGGTTCTGTCTCACAAAAAAAAGCAAACGCGCAAACTGGCTAAAACTGTGAACATATGTTAGGGACATGTGTACCAACATAACAAAAAACAATATCAAAGATGGAATATACGCAGCCCTCCTATTTACAAAAGTAACTTTACTGTTTGAACACATCACGTATATTGTATTGCAGACATATTTTTTATTTTTTTTCCATATTTCACACACCAATTCAAATCCCAGTATCCAGTTCATAAACTCCAATTTAACGTTAATGGGTTGATATGCGAAGAAGTCGTTTGAAATTTATCTTAGAGCTTACCTTATAAGTTGCTGATGTTCTTTCACGTACTCTTTCATACTAACGAGAAATGTGTTACCATGTCCCGCGATTTTACGGACCTTAATTTGCAGAGCTTTTATCACCGATGACCCAAAAATGATACAGGACAAGATGATATTAGTTGCAATACCGTACGATAGCAGTACGGCGGCGCCGATATAACAGTAAAACATGAAAAACGTTTCGTACTTTATAGGGTCAATTTTGTAAATATATAAGTCGTATATTAGCGGTTTGATCAATGTTTCGTTGTGAACTTTGTTGTATTGCTCTACCTTGATTCTGGCTACCAAATTTTCGACAATCGCAAAGCACACGTATATGAACAAGTAACAAATCGCCTGAACAAGATTGATGCTATTGCAAAATCTGACTTGTTCTGAATGACTGTTAAATATATCTTCGTCCTGGGTATCGTTGATCTTGTTTTCTTCCTCTAGTACGAAAGAAATTGTTCTTCGGACGCCAGCGCCTTGACAAAGGAATATTTTAATCATAACAACGAAGGTGCTACTAAGATATGTAATGGCGGTAATCAACCTTTCCATTTCTTGCGCCGACTTGTTTTTGTTGTTGAGGCTAACGCCGACCCAGCCACACATACTTGCTATCATGACTGTCATGTAAAGGTGAATAAAACAGGAATACAAGAAATAACATCTCGCAAGGTATGCTTTTTCCGTTAACTCATTCCGCCACGCTCCAAATATGACCAAGATACATTTAGAAACCTTTAAAATTTCTAATTTTTTTCTATATGCGTGCGCCATTAAGGTAGTTTCGATTTCTGTCTTCTAAATACACCCTTACAATGAAGACTTTTGCCAGTCACGCTCTCTTATATCCACACATAGGCAATATTAATAATAAATATCATATAAGTCAGGATCGGACGTGAAAGATTTGTTGGTGTTGTGAGAATAGTTTAATTTTTTATTGCAATACCAAATTTTTGAATGTAATATCTGGTAGATTTTCATAATAAAATCATATGCGTGATTATTTTAAAACGTCCTTTCTGTATCTCGTAAAGTATGTATTAAAAAAATAACGTTATTACTAACGGAAATATTGAATGTTGCTTTAAACCGATACACCCTGTATAAGCATCTCTCCATACTTTTTCTCTCCCTGTGAATGTACGATGCACGTACTCCCTAACACTATAATTTGTAACAATCATTCACGTCACCTAATTGCCTAACTGAAATCCATGTTTTTATACTCTCCTGATACGAGGCGCTAACGCGAACATTCAAATACCATATTTTGTTATAGAATCCGACTCTGTTGCATGAAAAATAAAACCGCAAACATCTTGCACATTTATTTTCCTTACGTGTCATTTCCCGCATTCATAAAGTCCTTTGTCATTTTTAATGTCCTTTTGATTAAAGGTTGATACCGATTGGGGGGGGATGTTTACTCCCAATACAACACAATGGAATTATTTTTATGTATCGCCCATGTATTCTCATTCGTTCGTTTGAGTTTAATCCAGTAGCACTTTCACTATTGTAACAGGAATTTGAAACAATTTATTTAATTTAACAATTATTCTGTTTTAATTAATGGTTAATATGGTTATCGATAAAACCTAAGTAAAATTTTATTTTAATTTGATTCAAGCAATCTGCAGTAATTAGGATCCTTTTTGAAAGTTTAATTTTTTTTTCTGGGTCTATTTTCGAACATTTTTGAGCATCTCGCATTGCTTTTGGTTAAATTGGGTTAGTGATATTCGTGTACTTATTTGCTGAATTTATTATAAATGAAGAATCGGGTATTATGTGACAGTGAAGTTCCGTTTAGGGAGCACCTTAATAAAAAGTTATAAAGTGTTCCGAGTTCATAGGATATTGTACTCCATTTTGGACACTTTCGCGGGGTATGTCATTTATCTTTAAAGATGTAATTACGTTTTCGCAGTAGTGTTTCCGAAATTCGTTGTTAATGCGGGATATCTCGGTTATGGCTATGGTGTTTTTGTGAAACAAAAAATGCCGTCAACAGAATTTTCTTATCCCATTGCGTTTCTAAGCTACAGAGTGATTTTGAAAATTTCGCTACTTGTGGCAACTTTTATCTCCCTTAATATTTAAGCTATCGACAAAATAAAAATAATCTATAGAAATTTCTTGGGTAGAATCCAGCTAGCTTTTTTACTTTTTGAATTATGATATAAAGTTATGCATTTTGCAACTAAAATTAGAAACAAGTGGCAAAGTGTTATATATTCGGAAAGCGCTTGCCGGATGCAATAAAGCGACGTAAAATTATACAACGTGTCCCATTTAAAAATACACAACTTTATGTCATAATTCAAAAAATAAAACAGTGTATGGAAAAAATAGTTACTCCATTGGATTCTAGGTAAAAAAATTTATATAAACTTTTTATTTTTTCAATAGCTTTAATATTAACGGAAGCTCAGAAACGCAGTGGGATCAAAAAAATTCTGTTGACGGCATCTTTTGCATGACCATGACCCGCAAACCGCAGGAGTCTAGTTTTACTCATAACCGAAATCTCTAAATGACAACGAATTTCGGACGCACTGTTTTTTTTTTATGTTGCTTTTTTAAGAAATTTCTGTATATTTTTTATTTGATAATTTATCAAAATACTAATAAACCCTTCCTATATGTGTCCAATTAAGCTTTAAATCTTATTTTTAGGAAAAAAAGTTATTCTTTAGACAAAGGTCTGTATGAAGTGCAACTTGAAACTTAACCATCGGATATATCGGCAATTTGTTGTTAAGAAAACTTTATCATAAACTAACCAGCAGACATTTCTATAAATTTATTTTGAGTTTTGTTTTTCTTTCGACTGAAATAAAGTAAAAAAAATCTCTATAATCAACGTACACATCTAGAGAAAAATATGTTATTTTTACTTGTGGCTGGTATATACTGCGGTGCTTTTAATAGAAACATTTCACTTTTATTGTAAACTTTTGCTAGCCAGAAGAAAACGGAGTATGTATATATATATATATATATATGTATATATATATATATATATATATATATATATATATATATATATATATATATATATATATATATATATATATATATATATATATATATATATATGGGTGGTTGGGGTTCATTTGTATGTCGGAAAAATTGGGTACTGTATTAATGTAATTATCTTCTAAACAAATACATATTAATAATAGTTTATTAATAAACATTTCGGAAATGAATTGCGTAAGCTTCCAAAAAATTTCCGTTTTGCACAGATATGCATATTTCTGCATTAGTAATAATAATAATATAATCTTTATTTAGCATTATGCTACATAAAAAATACCAAATACAAATTCTAATTATAAAATATAAAATTCTAGATAAACGGAAACCAAAAGCCAAACACACGGAAATCAGAATTTTGACAATACATGGCGTCTTAAAAGTATTTTAAATTCATTAAGAGAATCGCAGTTTTTAATAACATGCGGTAAATTGTTAAAATGATCTAGGCCTTTATGTAATATAGAGTTTTGTACTTGACTAGAATGACATTCTCTCAACATAAAATTACCAAAATTTCTTGTATTTGTAAGAATGAATATCTCTGAGATAGGTAAATGTTTCATAAACATAATTGGGAACACACTGCTGTTTAATTTTAAAAATAAATACATAGACATTAAACATTACTTTTTGTTTTACAGACAAGAAATTAAGAACACTCAACATGCTTTGAATTGGCGTATATCTGTTACACTTTAGTATATTTCTCATGGCTCTATTTTGAACAATCTGCAATTGCTCTAATTTATAATTAGACAATTTGGAACAAAATGTGGAACAAAATTCTAAATGGGGGAGCAACTAGGCTGTTATGCAATAAGATTTTGGTGTCAATTGACAAATTTTTCCCCATTCTAGATATGAAATTAATCTTTTTAGAAAATTTATTCATTATGAAATCGGAATGTGTATGAAACGTCAAATTTGAGTCAAATATAACACCCAGATATTTAGTTTCGTTTTCATGAATTAATTTTTTGTTGTTAATATAAATGTTTACATTGAAATTTAATTTACTCAATTTATGTCGTTTACCAATAATACAAAATTTTGACTTGTCCGTGTTTATAGAAAGGTTATTATTGCACAGCCATTCAAAAGCTTTCTTCAGATCGGCATTCATCTAAAATATTTACAATATCGTTTATATACAAAAGAATTAACAATGGTCCCAAAACTGTCCCCTGCGGAACACCATGTTCTACAGTTATGCTATCAAATATGCAATTTTTATATTTCGTTTTTTGTACCCTACCTGTTAAATACGAACAAAGTTATTTATACGCTATTCCCTTAATATCCATTTTGTACAATTTTCTTAACAGTCTAGTTCTACTTATTGTTTCGAAAGCACGCTTAAAATCCAAAAATACAGCCAACACAAATTTACCATCCTCCAAGGCCCTCAAGAAATCATCACAGACAGTAACGACGACAGATTCGCATAAATGTTTGGATCGAAAGCCCGACTGGTTAGGCACTAAAATATTGTTTACGTCACAATAGCTTTGCAGCTGCTGTTTCACCACAACTTCAAGAACCTTCTCATAAACTGGAACGGTATCCTTTGGTCTAAACTCTTGGCATAGCTCGGTGTTCGGAACCTTCTGTACAGGGATCACCATTGATGTCTTCCATGCCTCCGGAAAAATTCCACTCGTAAGGGAGGTGTTCACAATGTCCAACAATCGATTTCCAACAACTGCACATGCATCAATCAATACACTCTTTGAGATACCACACTCATCACCAGTCACATTTTTTAATTCTCTTATTATTATTTTTAGGTCCTGCATAGTTATGGTATTAAACTGATTTATTTTTCCAGAAGTTGGTATATTAGTGATATCATTCACAGCCTGGGCTGGCGGAATGCCAGTTAAAATATTCTGAACACTGTCTATAAAATACCTATTAAATTCATTAGCTATGTCTTACTCAAGTGAAACAATTCGCTGGCCAAACTGCAACTCATCGGGAAGTATATCTTTTTTATTTGGAAGTAGGGTTTTTAAATTTTTCCACATTTCTTTAGAGTTTGTTTTATTTCTATCAATAATATCTTTGAAATATCTGTCGTTTTCTAATTTAATGCAGCTTACAATGCAATTTCTCTCTTTTAGATATACTATCTACAAAGGTACCAACCAATACGTTTACATCTGTAATACTATTATTCCAGGATGTTTCAAGAAGCGATTGCTGCAGTAGGTCACTATTATAATTTTTCATGCATCTGTAATTTACTTAAAATAAGACGTCGTTGCTTGTATTTTCTATTTATATTGACAGTATGTTATGATCGCTAATTCTTGGCGTTAGATGTATTTTATATTCTAGATATTTATCATTGGTTATTATATAATCTATCAGAGTTTCACTTTTATCTGTAATTCGGGTGGGTGACTTAACAGTTTGGTAGTATCCATTTCTGCGTACAAGACTCTATAACATTCCACCATAAAACGTATTTTTTAGTAAATCAAAATTATAATCTCCCATGATAATGTTTGTTCCCGTGAAATCGCTCAGTTCATCCAAATAATTTGAAAAATAGTCCAAAAATTTAGAATTTTCCAGCTGTGGAGGATGATATAGAACACTACATATATATTTTGACACAAATAGCACCATCTCCACAGACAACATCCATACATAATTCTGTACACAAAATACATTCTTTAATTTGTACTTTACATCATATCTTATCAATGCCATCACTCCTCCAGTTCTTCTATTATTGGTAACGCACTGTTCCAGCTTGTATTCGTCAATACACAACTCACTGTGATGAATAGCCCCAGATACATGAGTTTCAGACAAAAACACTGTTTTTGGTTTCCAGTCATTAATGAGAACCATTATATTGTCCTTATTGCTCAGATATCCCTGACAATTAAAGTAAACTACTCCAGAACTTAAGGCGATATTAGTGTCTAATTGCTATTTCACAAATTTATTACGTTGGACTTGTTGAATGCGCTTATATGTCATGCAGTTGTTTATATCCCATGCTGTATGGTCAACATTTAATTTCAAACTATATTTGTTATTGGCTGCTACACAATTTGCACACTTAAATTCATTACTAGCGCAGTCTTTTATGTCATGTTCACCACTGCATTTTGGACATAGTTTTTTATCCTTACACTCTTTAGCCAAATAACCATATTTACAGCATTTAAAGCATCTAACAATTCCATAATTAAATTGGACGATTCCAGCAAATATTCATTTTTTCTTGTTCCATTAAAGTTTGGTACGTATCTAAGTTTACTTCAAAAATAATATTAAATCTTCCCTTAGCAACCTTCGTTCTTCTAAGGTTTTTTAAGCCGTTTTTATTACAATTATTTTGTTTTGAAATTTTTGTTACTATTTCCTCATCATTGCTATATACTTCAGACTCATTAACTTCAACAACTTTAATGCGATGATTACGTATTTTTGGTCTGTCCACTTCATATTCATGTCCCAATTTATTGTGAATTTCCGACTGTACGTTTACTATATCCTTTTCATTTCCACAACTTAGTATTAATCCACCATTTTTAGTAGAACGACCCATTTCCAAACCCACTCCAATTTCAATCGGGTTTACTTTCTTCCTCAGATCTTCCTTAAATGATGTAACATTTCTTTCTCCATCGCCCTTTTTTTAAACTACCAATAATTTGTTATCCTTCTTTGTGGTCGCAGAATATGACATTGTTGGTGTTACATCGGATATCATAGGACCCGACACATGTTTCGTAGCGCGTAGAACTGCTATCTCCTGTTTCAAGCTCTTATTCTCCGCCAACAGCAACTCCATTTTTTCATTTAACTCAGTTGTTCTACTCAA